GTCCATTTTGGGGAGTTGAATGAATAATCTTTACAAATAATATCATCTTTATTATTGTTCAATAAGTTTCCTTTGCAAATTCAATGTTTACTGGTCTGATGGTATACATAATCTAATAAAAACCTATCAACTATGCATTAAGTTCATACAGTTTAATAATGAGATATATAAAAAAAATTAATTTAAACATTGAAAGTGGATAATATACAATGTGTGCAGGTGTGATTAAATAAATCAACTATTAGACTGGTCAACTTATGAATCTTAAAATGTATGGAGAGTAGTTACAATTATCCATGAACTATTGGAATCAATCTTTCTAATATATTATTCAATGTTAGACAATTGATTGACAAAGTAGAAAAATGCATTTCATCCTCTAGAAAGACTTCATCAGATTAAAGTAACATTTTTGCTGATGGAATTATATATCTGTATGAAGAGGAGGTGTGTATATAAAGATGCAAACATCAGTTATAATTATGCTGAAGATATCAGAATGCTGAAATTTAATTTTTTTTTTTTTTAAAGACATGTCTGGACATGTAGTCTTACCAATTTCATTCAGTTTCCTTATGGTTTTATTTTTATCACTTTTAATATTAAAATGGATCTGCCAAAGGAGAAATGTTGTAAGAACCAGGACACAAATTCACCATGGATTATCTAGTGATCAAAGCACTTTCTATACATTTTCACTGTAATAAATTGCTTTTTCTCTTAATTAAATCATAACTTTTTTCTTAATCAAAATTATGATCACACATTATAGAGTGATTGACTAATACACTGTGTATGCTGTTTTGTAAAATATCTCTTTTCTGTTCATATAATTTTTTATCTAAATTTCTTGAGGTTATTTCTATGTAGTCCTAGTGGCAGTCATTACAGGTGATAGAGTAAATTCCTCCATCAAATTTTAGCTGCTTATTATTTTGTTTTGTATTAATTCTCTTATTGTTTTGGAAGTAGTTGCAACAAATTTTGTTAAGCTTAGATAAATTCTTTTCAAGTTTAGTTGTGATAGATAGATTTAGTTGGTAGGTAGAGAAATATATCTCAATTCATTAAATTTACTGGTATGGTTTATTCTTTTATTTTGAATTATTTAACAAGCCTTCTGTTTCGTGTTTAATATGAAATAATTATAATATTGGAGGAGCTTAAATGTATTTTCACTGTATTTCTCATCATGTAAATATTGAGCATTACAAATTCTAAGTGCTCTTAAATAGAATCTGATAATTATTCCAGATTTTATTTTGTTGTTATGATAAGGATAAAAATTTATGACACTTGTATCCAGTTTCTTACATTTCACCTTTCTTGACAGATCTTCTATTATCACAATGTGGGACAATATTTAATAATACTTTTAAGTGATATAAAAAAAAATAAAAGTATAAAGTAACTGATGAAAACAGCTAGACTACATGCTCAGAAATGTATAGAAAAAACAATTTTAAATTAAAAATTTCAGTAATCTAACATCACTATTTCCTATCAGTGCATATAACTGACACCTTGCATTTTTATATTTCCCCTTCCCACACATATTATTCCATCAACAAAAACATTAATTTAATGAAGTTGTTCTAGAGGATGAAATGAGTTACACGGTATTTTTTCCCCTTTGTCATTCATTTGCCTAAAATTGTTCTGATATATATAAATTTATATATTATATTCTCCTATATCATTCAATGTAATTCAAATCTCTATAAAAACATATTTTAGTAAATTTTACCTTTGTTTGGTCAATGTTGTAAGCTAGATAAAAATAACAAGGAAAAAATTATATTGCTGTAATTACTTTTCACTTGCCTGTAATATAAATTGAGAATAGAATATTTTTTTCAAGTTGAAATTATATATATCATAGTTGTATGGAAATATGGGGTTAAAATTATGTAACTGACATATACAACTTGAATTTATAAGATTATTTTTCTGACTAATCAACTAAGCTTTTAACTTTCAAACTAATTTACTCAAAATCTTACATTAATGCTTAAAAATCTTTATCATTAGAGATATTTGTAAATTTCTTTTTTGTTAAAGCAAATATGGTCAAAATTATGATTATATTCACAAATATTTTTATTCATTTTGTTTCTTCAGATTATAATAATATATTAGTCTATCTGGATGTGAATTTCTATTACTGTATCCTTCCAGATATAACTTTATACAAATCTGTTATGCATGATACACACACACAAACACACACTAACATGAGTATATACATACATTCATTGAAAGAGAGATTACATAATTCAAAATATGTAATGATAGGCATAAAATACGAGATCAAAACCTACCATTTTTAAGTGTGTAGGAAAAATGAAATGCATATGTATGCACGTGAAACTTTGAAAACCTACATATAGTTATTATTATTATTATTGATCTCTCAAGAAAAATGCAATCTACAGATGAAGGGTGTACTTAAATGTGGAGTGATTGTTAAATCTGTATATATATATATATATATATATATATATATATATATATATATATATATATATATATATATGTTATATATATATATATATATATATATATATATATCTGCATACATACATATATATATGTAGACACACACACATATGCCTAGGTATGCAAACACACATTTATATACATATGTATGCACACACACACATATATATATATATACATACACATGCACACACATATACATATGTGCACACACACACACACACACATATATGCACACACACATGCAAATTAAGAAATGCATAAGCATGTAATAAGAATGAAGAAATGCTGTTGTAGACAGTGTAGCATAAATGTCGATGATTGTCAATAGACATTAATATATACAACTAAACTGGTACCATCCTTGTTTATATATTATGTATATACATGTACAGATAAAAACACGACATGTGCATGTATGCATGCACGTGCACACACACACACACACTATATATATATATATATATAAAGATATTTAATGCTAATATATATGCACATACACACACACACACATATATATATATATATATATATATGTAAAATTTATATTAGCAAAATACATATATATAAGTTATATATATATGTGTGTGTAAAGTGTATGTATATATTTGAAATATATACATATTAATATATAGTGTGTATGTTATACACACTCACATATATGTGTGTGTGCATATATATATATATATATATATATATATATATATATATATAAAATGGCATCTTAAATATTTTTATATTATTTTATATCATTCAGAAAAGTAGTAAGTGCTTATTTGAAAATTGTTTTTAAATTATTTTGTTACTGTTCTTTTTTATCACTGTACTTATTTAAATACAACTATTTGGGGTATTTTAGCAGTAGCAGTAATAGAGTTCTGTGTATTTAATTTTGCTTCTTCCTTTTTGTTATATTTTTGTGGTAGTAACTTTTTAGTCATTCTGATGTTTTTAATTTATACTTTTCATGGAATTCATAGTACTAACATTCAGATGGTTACTTAATTTTTACTTATGTCCTAAGTTTTAATATTATTTTGTATTTATTTGAATTTTGTAATTAGTATTTTTTAATTTTTTGAAAATGAAGAATACCTTTTTCTTTTACTAATCCAACAATTTTGCTTGTTTGTTTCTTCTTTTTGTTGTCTTGTTATTATCAAGTAACAAATCCACATAAACATGTAATAAACAGTTTTAAAAAGATTAAAGAAACAAACAAAATCTAAAAGATTGGGGAGAAAAAATTACAAGTATGGAACAAAGAAAAATTATTTACATTTAACTAAGTTGTTCAAATTGTTTAATTAATGTCCATACTTTCTCATCTAATTTATATTAAATATCAATAACTAATACTAACTCTTTTAAAATGATCTTCAATTAATAAATTTTTAATCTCATCAACAAATGATTCATTAATTGCAAAGTTTGGGAATAGTGAACCTTTTTTGCACACATATATACATACATACATACACACATATTTCACAACAGGCGTTTCTTTTTTCATGTTTAATATTTCATACTTTAATGTTTCTTTCATAATTAGCATTAAACAAAGAATTTTCTAATTAGTTAATTATATGTGTTAGGTTCACAACTTAATTAATTAACCATTTAATTATTGGTCACTTTGCTAATTTACTTTATATTCTAATAAAGAGGATTGTTTTGATAATTAAATTAGTAATGGGATTAGGGTTAAAAAACAGAAAGTAATAAAAATCTATGTATTGACTATTGAATGAACTGAAGTCATCATATAATGTTGATAATGAACTAAATGGTTGTTTTTAATACTGCATCACATTCATTAAAACTAATTTGTAACATCAGTTAAGATTTACTTGAAAAAACAAGCTAACTGATTAATTGACAACCAATTTTTTTTTATTAAATTTATTCCTTAAATTAAAAGTTAACTTATCAAAAATGTCTTCTGACAATAGTCATTTGCACCTGTGTAACTGTTTCCCTCCCTCAACAAAAATGCGTCAACTCACCCCAAACTTCCTTTTTTGTATAAAACAAGATTTGAGGTGCATAAAAATCCATTATGAAACTAGCCACCCATTGCATTACTTTTCTTGTGCCTCTTAAGATTGTTCTTTTGCAACCCTGTCATTTCTATAGGGGAAGGGTCCATTCCCTCACTTTCAAAGCCTTGTAATCCTTATAACTCTTAAGGAAGAGGGTCCACTTTCCCCAGTGCCCAAAGCCATCCATTTTTTATTTTAATTTCTATTATATATTTCCAACCTTAGATAGCATTTCTCCACCTCCTGTGCTAATTGTTTTTTTCTTTCTTTCCCTTTTTTCTGTGCATGCCAATTTGGCAAAAAAAGGGGAAGCCCTTTGTAGGACAAAAAAAAAAAAGCAATTTTTTGGGAAAAAAAATTCGGGATTTTGTAGTATTTTTGTTTTTGTTATATGCAAATTAGAAAGCCACGCATTGTTTTTCCATTTATTTTTTTTGGTTGGTTTGTTTTTCTTCTCCACTAGGAACTTGCTTCCTGAAAAAGATTAAAGAAAATAAGTAAATAAACTTTAACATTTTTTTATCATAAATTAATTTTAAGTTTTGTTGATATATATTGAGGATTTCTTTAATCTTTTTGGCATTAGCATAGTTTAAAGAGTATTGAAGCAAAAATCAAAATACTTATCTTCAATCTACAAGACTGACAGATTAAAAAAAACAAAAAAATATTATATATTAATTACTAAATTATTGTATATTAATGTATTGATGGGAAGTATAATTTGTTGTAGCTGAGCTTACATATTCTATCACTGCTATTTTAATTTGCATCAGTTTTATAAATCAAGATGTGATTTTTTTTAGGTTTATTAAAAGCAAGAAATTACAAGTAACTTTTCTGTATATACAATGTTTTATGAAATAAATATCTTTTGAATATTAAAAATACTGATTTATTTTATTATAACTATGATTACTATTAAACATTTCAATTTATTTGTGGTTAATTTTCAAGTTTTAAAAAAGGTAAAAATATATAAGCAAAATACCATTAAACATGTATGTATAAACAACTAATAAAATACATTTATCTCCATCATAGTTCATTTAAATTTATATATAATTAATTTATCCAGACCATCAAATAATATTCTAATGCACTACAGATATTTTCTACATCAGCAATCTATGATTTTTTTTCATATAATTAACTCTATTCTTGCATGTAAGAAAGAATTATGATTTTTAATAAGTAAAAGTGAAAAATCTGTAAAGTAAGCAAACATGAATGAAAAGAAATAAAAAGCAACGTACTAGCAACCTGGTCTCTCCTACTTACTAATGACATATTATGTTATGGTAGTCATGTTCATTAATCAGCCTAAAACCATAGTAAAGGACTGTTTCATTAGTAAGTAGGGTATATCAGGTTATATGATTTATATAATTACATTATAGAATAAACTGAAAAGGCTATTAGATGTCATTTTAATCAAATTTCTATTGATTTCTATTACGTTTTTATTAACTGATATAATCATGATGCTGACTTTCCACATCACTATAAATGAAAAAAACTGTTTTAAAGGAAAATTTTTTTATAAATTTTAATCAACAGTAAAGATTACAGTTCAATAAATGAATGGTAACAGCTAATTTCACCATTACCATAAAGGAGGTTCAAAATTTAGCTGTTGATAAGAGCTCTTCATCAGTATCATCAGGGATATTTTCTTAATTACATTTTGTATACAAATGTTTCTTAAGATTTTATAAGTGTTAAAATGTTTATCTTTTCAAGTCGTCTCTTTCATCTCTGTGTGTTTATTTATTTATTAACTGTAATTAGGGCCAGATTATGACCTTTTAAAAAGCTTGAAGGGCCCTAGGTTGTAGCCTAAAAAGATAATCCGGCCTTGATTTGTAACCTCTCCTTACATTCAGAGATCTAGTTAGGATTTGGATGAGATTATCTAGAACTGCTTCAATGGGTTTAAGGGTTACTCTGAAAATAATACCTATTTTATTATGAAAGAAGACAAAAAGAAAACTTATCTTAGCTGATGCATTTTGTTCTCTGATGAACAAGGCAAATATAAGAATTTTATTTTGCAACAAGTATTTATAAACAAAAGTAAAAATGTTAGTTTTTCAAAATTTTTAAATTTAAACAATGCTCATTAATATTCATCAGGCTAACTGAAAAAAGTCTAGCTAAATTATGGAGAATGCAAAATGACATAATGTCTAATAAAAGAAAATGAGTAAATGATCTTACTGAATTTCTTTTTTATGCAATATATACAAAATAAACTGTCACAACTGCTCTTCATACTACAGTGGGAAAACTTGCAGAAATTTAAAAAAAGTATCTATGAACATAAATAGAATCAATTTATCAAGTTCATTAGTATATACATAGAAAGAAATTCAACCACAATTTTGCTCTAACAAACACTTATTAAAATAGAAAGTAATTTACTTAGACAGAAAATTCTTGAATGTGTCACTATGAAATCTTATCAAAATATAAATCTGCACCCCAGATTTTTTCAAATATCTCCATTCCTGAAAGAATTACTTCTTTCTCAAGCTAACATACATGGCGATAAAAATGTTAAAAATTAAAATAAAATGTTTAAAATCATAACCTCCTGTTATAAAAAATATATAATAGATAAATTTATCAAATACTAAAATAATTTAAATATTAACTGCATAAAAAATATTCCATATTATTTACTTTCATTTATTAGACATTAAATTACATCACTTAACATCTTCCATAATTTATCTAGATATTTAACCTGATGAATATTTATGAGAGTAGTTTACATTTAAAAATTTTGAAAAAACTAACATTTTTACTTCTATTTATAAATACTTGTTGCAGAATAAAATCTTTACATTTGCCTTGACAAAGTCCATCTGAGGATGAAATGTGTTGGCTAAGATATGTTTTCCTTTTGTCTTTATTCATAGTATAGTTCTTTTACAGGTATATTTTAGTTATATCTGAAATTTTACACTATTTTATTATGTTTGCCCATGACATCAAATGTTTGGTGGTAGTAGTAAGCAACAGAGTTTGAACTTTTTGCAAATAATCCATAATTTTTTTTTGATGTGTTACATGCAGCAACTGAATGATCATCTGACAAAGTGCATATGAAGCAGAGATGTACCATTGAATTTCTGTATGAAGAAAAAGTGCACCCATTGACATTCACTAATGCTTACTAAATGGAGACAAAACAGTGGGTGGTAGGTAATGCTTCTCAGTAGAGATGACAGTAATATGTGTTAGATGCCGCATTCTGGGCTGTTCTGTGCATCTGTCAACTAATGAAAAAATGAAGAGTGCCTCAATCAGTTCATCTGCATAAATTGACAGATTGTGACCCAGAGAAATTAGTACAGGAGTGTATGTTGACTTCTATTGGTTGGAAAAATGTTGGAAGTATTGGGATATTGCAATCTTTATGCTCACCCAAGAATATAAAGAATAATGAATATCAGTCAAGACCAACTGAACTATTATAAGGCTGAATGTGAGTCTCCAGTTTACATAATCAATGGTGATAATATGTAATGTCACCATTACAAGTAAGAATCAAAATGACAGTCTATACAATGACAACACGTAAATTCCCCATCAAAGAAAAAGCTCAAAATGGCGTCATCAGCAGACAAAATGGTTTGTACTGTCTTTTGGGACAGGATATAAATGATGCACCAGGATTTCCTAGAAGTTAGACAAAACATCAACTCTAACAAGTTACTTTAACATGCTAATTAAACTGAAGGTCAGAATTTTCAGATATAGACAAAAGAAAAGAAACCTTTCACTTGCAACATGATAATGATAGGGACCTCTAATGAAAATTAGATTTCTCTTTTAGTTAATTGAAACAAAAATTCTAATACAACTTTTATAAAAACCTACCATAAAAATATTTAAAAATTCCTTAAAATATTAATCACAGAAAATATATAAAGAGGAAGTTAGTATAATCTAAGATTGCCACAATCCAAGTAACTTCATTAACAACAAAATGATATCTATAATAATAAAATCTGATTACTATATAATGTAAATGATATTCTTTAGTTTGTAATAAATAACATTTGATAGAAATTTGTTATTATGACACTTGATAAATGGTACAAAAATAAAACTAGTTAAAATAATTATATATGAACAAAAATAAAATCAATTAGTGTTTTATATCTATCTGATATAATGATATATATTTTTATATATCAAGACCAATAATGAGGAGAAATGTATGACAAAGTGAAATAAGTTTTTTTGTGACGTTTTGTCATTTAGGGCTTCATTGGACTAAATTGATGTGGGATATCTACTAACAAAAGTGATAAAAGGAAAAAGAATCTAAATGAAATCGTCAAGATAAAAAAAAATTTTAATTCCCAAAATCCCTCTTTTGTGTGCATGTGTAGTTGCACTAACATAAAAAATTAGTCCGATGAAGTTCAAAAGTATGTAACACATCACAAGAAAACTTTTTCCACTTTGTCATACATTTTTCCCCAACATATATCTATATCTAAATAGATAGATATATATTGGGGAAAATGTATGACATATCTAAATAGATACATACATATATAAATAGGCAGACAGACACAACACACAGGGTAATATAGAAAGTAATATCTCCTTTATTTACTTAAAATCTCACAGATACATAGAGCACAATAACACTATTGGATAGAGCAAGTTTTCAGCTGCAAAGTATTTTTTCCACATAGTAACCAAACATTGACTATACATTTTTTCCAGTAGTCAATAAGAGCCTATAAGCCACATGAGTATGAATTGTCACACACATTGTTGCTGAAACACATTATCCATTGCCTGTGATCACATTTACTAATTGGTTTTTGAAAACATTCAGAAAGCTTTGATGAATGTCAATAGTTTAAATTTTTTCAATATGTAACAATTCAGTTATACATTTAAACTTTTTATACACTTTCATGTCAGACACCATTTTGCTAAACTGCTGTTTGTAACAAGGCCAAAACAATTATGGACCATTAACAAGAAGGTTCAACTTTTATTACTGTACTATCAACATCCACCTTTTATGGACAAACATTAAAATAGGAGGTATTAATTTTTTAAATAACCATTATACATCATCAATGCATCTATTGTGGGCCAATAAGTTGGTAGTCTTACATTCAGTTATTATCTGAATTTGGATCTGAAATTTCACTGTAAAATAATGTTTAAATTATATGATTAATATTTACCACCAAATTTTTATTAATATATCTTATAATTTTTTATACTTCAGTTTGAATTTGCCTATATTTTATAGTAAACAGATTCTAAATAAAAAAAAGACAAGTGTATTTGAAAAAATTAAAAGTATTTAGTAGAAATTTTTACTTCTTTTAAAAAGTACATAAATAGTTACTAATCTACCATGAAGCAGATTTCATTTACCACCCTGAGTATCATATTTGTATGGGAAGGACAGAGTAGAAAAATTCTAATTGAGAAAAGGAGTTGACAATACCACCTTTAAGACTATCAATTACAGTAGTTAAATTGCTTTCAATATGAAATTTCTTATTTAAAATGTTATGAAAAGGAGAGTTTTTGAAGGATTTAAACAGAAATTTATGAACAGAGTTATAAACATCTAAAACAAATAGAAAGAGTATATTGGTTCTCAATAGTGTAGCATGGGGTGGGCCAGAGGGGAGTTTGCCTGGGTGCTAATTTTTTAGGAGTACAAAGAAACAGTTGGATAAAAAAATTTACATATGAAACTAGAATTTATAACAGCTCATGGATAAGGAGGAGACGCAATAGTTTAAATTAACCTGGGCGCTCTCAAAACCCACCCTACACCATTGTTGGTTCCATAACTAAAAGAGATTTTGATAGTTTACTTCAATGACAGAGTGACTGAATAAGTAATTTACATTTATGCATTTGGTATTACCAAACACTAAAAATATATTTTTGGAAAAATATAAACAATTTTTATAAAATTCAACTGAAAAGGTCTGTCTAATTATCCAAAACATTAAACCAATTGATCCTATTACATTTGCCAAACAAATATAGTATTAATTCTACTAATATATTTTTAAATACTGCACTTTAATAAACCTAATAATAGCACCTTAGTCATGTTGGATAATGAAAGTCTCTTTACCAATGTCCCCATTAAAGAAACTATAGATATAGTAATACAAAATGTATATAGGCATTCTTTACTCCAAATTAGACTAACAATTCCATGTAAATATCTATCCTGCATGAAACATTTTTATGATCACTACATAGATAGCATAGCAATGGGTTCTCCTCTTGGTTCTACTATATCTAATTTCTACATAAGACATATAGAAGATAAAATTCTTAGTTTTACCAAATCTCTGATTTCTGTTCCTGATATTAATCAAGTCAAATATTCATACTAACAACAAATCTAGGAAAAAAAAATCATGAAAGGACTTGAGAAAATTCTGTTCTGCATTTTACTTATGAACTTAACATTAATATATGAAAACCATTCCTGGTCTTTCTAGTTGACACTGATTTTGCTATTTTATTGAAGAAAGAAAAATAAGTAAAACTTCCTATTTTCTTAATTACAAAAGTGAATGTCCTCATATATAAAATAGCTGTGACAAAAAAGCTTAACCAAGCAACACAAAAAACACTTAACAAGAACAATTTCCCCATGTCATTCATGTGCAAATAAAATTAACCTTAAATAATTTTAGAAGAATATGCAAAGTCAATCCTTGTCATTATAAACAAATATAAAACTTATTCTACTTTAACCAAATGAACTCAAATTAAAATAAGAGGAGAGACAATATAATCTGTCAGTACATATCATTTAAAGCCATTAAAAATATATTTCACTATATGCATATATCACTTAATGATTCTATTAAATACCTTTGATTTATCATTTACTATAAAAAGTTTAAAATAACTAGTACCAATAATTCAGAACCTCAAAAATGCTTAGATGATAAAAACAATGTGCTTTATGAATTTTCAAATCTAATATCAATAATCACAAAACAACATTAAGTTATTCTATTGGTCATAGAAGCACCACACTTGCTTTTAGGTTAACTTGTCATTTATCAAAACTTAGTAGAATTTGTGTACATATTGATAACCACAGCACAAACCAAAATACAACTATAAACAGAAGACAAATATTAGTAAATACCAAAATACTGTATAGCACTCACCACAAAGAAAGGCTCAAAATACTTGAAGCTATTATTATATAAAAGAAACAACTTGCATTAATTATTTTTCACCAGAGGAGATTACATTTTAAAGTCTATATAAAATATTTAATATGCATTTAAAATAATAATAATAATAATAATACATATAAATTAATTCTACATTCTTTTTCTGGTACAGTGAAGCTATGTGAAACCGTTTTACATAGATTGTCTCTTAAATGATACATATATTAAATTTGAAATGTGACAGTTTAAAAAATACCAAAATGAAGCTAACATCCTCATCTTTTTGGTAAATGACTGAGATGGTCAAAAGTAATATAACAATACAAAAGCAGGAAATTGTAAAATTACTTAATTCTGACCCAGATGTGTAACAACTTATTCAACAATATTAAACAGATAGATTTTGTTGGTTGAATGTAATACAACTTGTTCAAATTAATTTCTACTGTTTTCACACACACACTCATAAACAAAAATATTTATCAAATCATAAAAATGTTTTATTTTAGAGAAAGAAAATACATAAGGATTACTACCAACAAACAAGTCACATTGTCTTTCTTTATTTCTTGGTTACTGTAAAAAAGATTATATATATATATATATATATATATATATATATAATATTAAACAAAAGCTTAAATTCTTGAGGCCCTCTATATCAAAAACAACCAAACAACAGTGAACAAGATTTATTACAAGTATTGTAGTAATGTTTTAGAATGCATTTGAGTTGACTAACATTTAACACCATGTTGCAATTTACCATCTCTGGTTATCACCCTTGGACTGGGAACGCTTGTTTACAAAACATCGTAACCACAACGATTAATTTCAAAATAATTATAACAGAACACATTTACAAAAACGCATGTTTACTAAAATTGCCACAACAGTTACAGTTACATAAAGTTTGTCTTCATAATTCATCCCTGAGGATTATTTTAGAGTAGATCAAAAATACTTGGCTTAACAAGAACTATGACGCCTTTCTTGATGAATTTCAACGTAACATCAATAAGAAAATTAGAGAACTAGAAAGGATTATTGTAAAAATAGACATAATTTGTCTATATTTAATGAAATAATATATAATATATATATATATATATATATATATATATATATATATATATATATATATATATATTTAATTGGATTGACGTGAGGTTGTGGCTTTTCACGCTTTTGCGTTGTCTGACGATCACAAAAGCGTGAAACCCAGGGGTCACAAACTCACATCAATCCAACCAAATATGTTAGCTCTATCTCTGATATTGAGCACTTTCTAATAAGTACTGTGCATATAATATATATATATATATATATACACACACTTTTCATATATATATATATATATATATATATATATATATATATACACACACACACACTTCATATATATTATAAATTAATTGATTTAAAATTTTTTTTTTTTACACTACACAGTTCTAAACATGTTTCAAAAATGTTTTTGAAACATGGTTAGAACTGTGTAGCAAAAAAAAAACCTATTTTAAATCAATTAATTTATAATATTAATGCTCTGTAAATGTACATTGAGCACTATATTGTAAAAATAAAAATATCTATAAGAACACCGGATTATATATCTTGCTGTTCTTTCTTTTTATATATGATTTTTTTATCGTCCTGAGCAGAACTTAGTTTGGTCAGCATTTATGCATATTAGAAGTATTTTTTATTAATTTACACCAATGGTTTCTTTTTGGAGGTATGTAAGTGAATTTTTTCTATTTTAGTACTCACTAGTAACCCTTTACATTGCCTCTTTTGCCACTATACATATATATATTTTTTTCCCTTATTTTTATTAATAAATTTTCATTTTAGTCATGGTTCCTTTTTTTTCCCCTCCTTATATTTTTCTTTTCTTGCAGTGTGAATTATTATTCTGTCTATTTAGTATTTACCAACATATTCTTCTGACAAAGTGATGGTGGAAAAGGATTAGAGAAGAATGTTTTCCTGCATTTTCAAATATATATATATATATATATATATATATATATATATATATATATATATTTTTTTTTTTTTTTCTTTCTTTCTTAAATAACACATTTTACTAAATAGATAAAATTTTAATAAATATATAAAACAAATATATACAATGTTTGGATTAAAGAAGACTTCTTATTGTCAGCATCATTAATTGTTGAATGATTCTTTTTGTATTACTATATTCTGTGTGTGTAAATACATATATATTTACACATATTGTGTGTAAATTTTCATGTATATTTTTGTAGGGATAATAATTGAAAACTATTATTACTAATATTTAAATTTGATATTTGAATTTACTTATACTAATATTATAAGTATTTGAATTACTATTATTACTAATATAATTAGTATTTAAATTACTAAACAAAATGATGTAACTCTTTCAATATTTTTCAATACTTAAGAGAAGAGCATGATTTAAGAAAAGATAAGGAACACAGTGTTTGACAATGTTAAACAATATTTCAACATGTTAAAATATTGTTTAACATTGTCAAACACTGCATTCTTTATCTTTTCTTAAATCATGCTCTTCTCTTAACTATTTGAATTACTATTATTAATAATATTATAAGTATTTGAATTTACTTATATTATTAGTATTCAAATTACTACTATTATTTATAAGTATTGGAATTTACTTATATTAATATTATTAGTATCTGAATTTACTTATATCAATATTATTAGTATTTGAACTACTATTATTAATAATATTATAAGTATTTGAATTTACTTATTAGTATTCAAATTACTATAATTACTTATAAGTATTTGAATTTACTTATATTAATAGTATTTGAATTACTATTATTAATAATATTATAAGTATTTGAATTTACTTATTAAATATTAATATTATTAGTATTTGAATACTAATATCAGCAGATAATATATCAAGAAATGATATTTTTCTATAAATGAATATATTTAAGTGAATGTCTATGAGTGTAATTTTTAACAGAGGTATAAAAATAGAAATAGACAAATACAAATGTTTTACTTACATTATTTACTAATCTACATTTTAGATTATTTTTCCATTCCTTAATCCCCTAGAGTGCCATCAAGAGTCTGCTTCAAGCATCTCAAGGAATAACTTGTGCATGATGACTCTTCCATCTTTTTTCACATCAAACCAGTATTGCCGTGCAAGCAGCTTGACATGTGTCAGATGCGGCAGCAGCATAAACAAGTGGCCAAGTCGTCTCATGTTCCCTGTGTGTTTTGTTTTCACATATTCAATCAGTGTATCATGGAATTTATCCTGTAGTTGTTTCACTGATCCATTGCTATCAGGAGTAACATCTGAAATATAAGTGAATATATAAAAATTACTTTGAAATATGTAAATAATCTTACATTCTCTCTCTTACATATACATGTGTGTGTGTAAAAATTCAGTTATAAATCAAATATATCTGTAAAAAGACAATATGAATAAAGAGAGAAAGAAAACTTATCTTAACTGATGCATTTGCTCCTCTGTTGGATTTTATCGAGGCAAATGTAATTATTTTATTTTGCTACATGTATTTATTAACAGAAGTAAAAAAAAAAAATAGTTAAGCTTTCAAAATTTTTAAATTTAAAAATGCTCATAAGTATTTTTCAGGCTACTTATAAAAGTCAAGGTAAACTATGGAAGATTCTAAGTGATTTAATTTAATGTCTAATGCTGAAAGTGAGTAAATGCTGAATTTTTTATTTTCTTATTTGTTTATATATATTTATTTACTTTTATTTATTAATGTAATTATTATCTCTTATTTTATTTTAATCTGATAAATTATTTATGTATTTATTTATGTTAAATAACATAAAGGTTTTAATTTAACTGTTTTTTTATTTTAAAAATGTTTATGGTCATTTATGTTAGCTTGAGAAAGGTGTATTTACCTTGACTTTCACAGTTAGACTGAAAAAATAACATGGAGGATAGGAAAAACATCAGTAGTACCTCAAAACAATTTAACCTTTGTATAGAGGAGAATAATTCCCTTTCCAGAATAAGATAAAATACAAAGAAAAGATTAGAGCTCACTTTCAATGCAGGTATGAAATCAAATTCTTTATGTACTATCTACAACTATATAATAACTCAAAAAACTAGACAACACTCCGTAACCTAAAACTTTTCCAAATACCAAAACTTAAAAAAAAGGAAAATACACAAAATAAAGAATATACAAAACAAATAATTTATGTATATATATATATATATATATATATATATATATATGTGTGTGTGTTTATGTGTGAGACATCAAGAGAGATAAAGTCCTAGCCTATATACATACACACACTTACTCCAACCACCCAACCAGCATAAATAAGCAATCTAGAAGTCATGACTCTAAATAACCCTCAACATCTGCCCTAAACAGAAGAAACCGGGGAGTACGGATTTACTTTTTTCTCACATAATCCTCCAGTGATCAATATACAAAAGCCATTATATATACAGCCTGCTAACAGAGGCTGTATGTATAATGCACTTGGTCTGAAGATCTTATTGAAGCATAAATCTGACAGTCATCTTGTGGCATTGATTCCTCTGTCCACACTCTCTATAAATGTTATATCTCTGATATTGAATACTTTTCCCCAATAAACAGGATAAATTTTAAAGCATATAATAATAAGTGAGTTATATATAATAACATATAATAATATCTTTTGGGAAGTAAAAACTTTGCCAAACATTATTTTTAAGCAATTTTTTCTTCTTGGTCAATAAATGCCTTCTCAAGAATAAACAACTAATACAAGGATCAAATTTTATTAACCTCATTGGCTCAGAGAAAAAGGGTGTACATCTGTGCATATAATTAAATATAGTATATTTAGACAGAAATCTTTTGTTTAAACATGTTTTATTAAATAGAGTCTAGGACAAAGAATGCCTGTTGAAGATTTTGGTGAGTTTCTCTTTGTGTTAAATAACATCAAGAGAAATTGTTTCATATTAGGTGGAAACCTGCAAATGAAATTACCAAAACTCTGTGGCATTCTGAGTACTTTCAACCTCCATTGCTCATTTTCAAGAATTGAAGGTATAAGTCAAGAGATTGCCAGTGAGTGTTTATAAGTGTGGGTTTACATACTATGGTGGGGAAAGTGACTATAGTGTCATGTGACTATAAAATGACTATTGCCATTCAAAATCCACACTGAGATTAAAACAAACTTTATAGATGGTGGATTGCCACTGAATGATAGGAAGAGACTCCAAAATATATTATATTCTGTTTTAAGTTATATTTGCATTGGAAAAAAGTTTAAAGTTTGTTAAATTTAATCTTTCTGGATAGTTTTACAATCCTGACAATTCATCTGACATGATAAATATTTTTCTTTACTTTTTAATACTATTGATTTCTAGAAATAAAACTGTTTTATCTAAAAGCAATCAAAAATTCTATTGTATAGCTTGTTAAAGCACACAGTATAAAGTATGGCATCAAACTAAAAAGTACCAGAGGAATCCAGGACACAGTGGATAAAATCCCAGCCTATTATCCCAAAAGTGGACAAAATCCCAGTTTTATAAATAAACAATTTTAACATTGAAGAGTAAAGGAACTTTTAATTCAAATTTTAATGTCAAATTAAGAGATTAATAATAATATCCAATATATACACTTATATGTGTAAGAAAGATTGATTTCTGTCGGGTATAGAATACTAATGTTTAAGAGGAAAGAGAACAAACCAATTTTAAAATAAAGATTTTTATGTCCGTATTGATTAAACATGGACACACACAATATTTGATAAATTTAGAAATATGAGAAATTACAATGCTATTTTTAATTGAGAATTCCTAATTATAGATTTTAGTCTTTATTTTTTACTATTGTTCATCTAATACAAGACCCAAGTGCCACTCAAGATAGAGGATTACTTAATGTAGATATTGTAATGGTGTATAGAGAGGGAGCAAGGATTGCATAAGGATATCTAGAATAGATAACAGTTGACCCATGATATAAAGATTGTAGTGATCAGAGAAGCATCACCTCCAGAGTCTGTCCCATATTGCAACAGTTTGGGGGGGGGGGGAGCCGTTTGAGTGGAACATTCTATTAACTAATATTTTCCAATTTTTTTTTTTTTTTTTTACAGCAGGAGTTAGTGAACTAGAGGAGTTTATCATAATCAAGAATAAATGAAAACAAGTACAATGTACTAATTATCTATCAAATACCTCTTCTATATTAAGTCAAAATTATGATCAGACACTTGAGCTGATAAATTTTGCAAATTATAAATATCAACTTCTCAATACATAGATATTGACAAATAAATTTGGCCAACATCTATAGGGAAATGGGTAATCTTTCTTGGATTAGAAATAAATAACAGTGACTTACAATGTCAGTTGCAATAAAACTGGTTAAAATTGCCACAGATCAATAAATTTTAGTTATCTTACATAAATATTTATGTTTGTTGAGGCACAGAAAACAATTTATTTTTAAGATTAATCTTTGTTTTATTACTGCATTAATTAAAACAGAAATCATGGGAGCAGCAGAAACTAACATTTTTTTACTCTTAAAAAAGTCTATAGTATATTTATGGAAATTATTGTGCTAAAATTCTATTACAAGTGTTTAGGTGTGTATGTATATATATATATATATATATATATATATATATATATATATATATATATATGTACACAAATATAAACGTTCTGAAATATAAATAATACTTATGCATTTTACTGACCTGGGTTGCAAAGTATTAAGGCCTTCAAAAGTATGTACTCTTCTTTTGTTACGCCAAGACTAGTGATTTTACTGGCGAGTTTCCGGCTAAGGTTGTCCATCTCAGGTGAGCAACCATATGTATTTGCTGCTTGTTCTTGGTCAATTTTGAAATCTTCTGCAAACTTCAAGAAGTGGTTGTAAGGACAGGATCGATGAGCAAGGTTCAGACATAAGATCTCAAGCCATGAATGCTGTAGGAGATTCATTTGGTCACCCAGGGGAAGACTGGCAAATCCTGTTATATATGCAAACATATATTGATAAATAAATGGTAAAGATTTAAAATATAGCAATCTTATATACACACTTTCTTACACATACATTTATAGTATTATGTATAAAACATGAAAATGCAGTTTCTAAAATTTAAGATGTATACACACTGCATGTATATATAGTTATATATATATATATATATATATACATATATATATACACATACATACACACACAACTATGCTTGCATCCAAATAAGTTTGAACACATGCATGTTAGCTAAAAATCTTGATGTAAAGATATCTTGTTTTGTTAACTATTGTTATTGCTTTTTATCTTTTCCATTCCTGCAAGAGCATTATCAAATACTTTAAGAATTTTTATTAATTCATAGAATATAATGTAATGATAATTAAATTCCTTTTTACTTCACATTAAAACAAGGATACATGCAGTAATATGGATATGTAAAATATACATTATATAGATATGTTAGATATAAGCATATGCATATATACATATGAATGTATATAACAGTAGATAAATAAATAGCTACACTGATACAAATTTATATATACTTTCTCAAATCATTTATAAACTATACAGTTATAGAAACAATATTAAACTGTAGTTTTTTTTACTTTTCAACATAAAATAGTTTCACTAATTAGTATTTTGCTGAAATTTATAAAATATTTTAAATCTACATCTGTAATCAGTTGAAAAAAGTATGAAATTATGTTTTATTTTCTGCTATTTATAATTTTTATTTTCTTTTGGAATTTATTTTGCAGTTTGTTCAGATTTAAACAACTGTGTAAAAATATTTTAATACAACAGAAAAAATTGCATTTTATAAAGTTTCAACTGTGTGTACATGATTAATATATTTTAAAACTTGTAGCATAAGTAATCTTGTGTTGTTTAAAGGTACACATTTTTTAATTAATACATTTTATATTACCATTTATGTTAAAAAGAGAAAAAAGCTATCATTTATCATTTACAGCAGTTAACTGCCATCACATAATAATTTTATAATTTTTTATTGAATGTAGCTTTCATTCTTCTTTATATAAAATATTCACCTTTTATATTGTCTCTTGTTAAAGTATCTCTTGTCCAAAATATATAGATTTTAATAATTTAAATGAAGTACACCTTTTATCCAAGAACACAAATAGATAAGTAAAAACACAGACATATATTATTCATAGGTAATAATGGCATTCAAAAGGTTCCAGGTGCACTATTTATTAGAAATGAACAAATTTGAAAGTGGGTGTGAAGGTTTAAAAATGGAAATACAGCAAAGATTATCTTATAAAATGAGTTAGCTGAAGAAAAAAAAAATTAGCATTCTGTTGATCATTGAAATATTGATTTGAGGAAGGAAGTGTGTTGAGCTAAGAAATTTTCAACTCTCCTGGTGTACATATATTTCACAAATACAATTATTCAAATGATACACAAATATATATATATATATATATATACACACACACACACATATAGAAAGGCTCTTCTTTGAAACTCTGGAGTAGCGGTGCTTTTTTATGTAAAATTTATAATAAATAATTATTGCTCTATTCTTGGTATTGAGCCCTCTTTTGAATTAATGCTGTGAATGTTAAAAATTATATTATTTTCGTTCACATTATATATATATATATATATATATATATATATATATATATATATATATATATATATATAAGGTATATTTAGGTAGCAAGTATTCAAGGACAGTCTGTTTAATTTTTTTTTTTATTGTATTTTTCAAATAAGGAGTTGAGTAATTGGGATTGAAATTGTGGGTAAACTGTTCAAAGTCCAAATTGTGGTACTTAAACAAAAAAACAACACAATATGAAAAACTTATTCAAAAATGGAAGAATACAATAAAAATTTAAATGACAAACATTGTTGGGTCTTTTTAATCAAACTTGTGTGTGTGTGTGTGTGTGTGTGTATATATATATATATATATATATATATATATATATATATATATATATATATATATATATATAAAAGTGGACATTGAAGTAAACAGTCAGAGGTGACAAGTTGTTTCATGCTAAACACAATCATCAGGCCATGTGTGTTGTGTTTTTGCTCAACTTTTTTATATACAGGTCAGTGATGCATAGTGGGTAGTCTATTGTATTTTTCTAACAGTTATTTTGGTGGGTATTGTTTCGTAATTTGTTTATTATTTACTTAGTTCATTTAAATATTTTTTGTTTGGATTAATTTATTTTATTTATTTATTTTCATTTATTCTTGTTCACATTCAGCTTTAGATTTTTAAGTAGCATAGTAAAAATTTGTTTTCATGCTTGCATTATTATTACCAAATTAACCATCAGAATAATATAATGGACTAACCCACAATGAATCACTGACTTGTATGTATAAAAAATCAAGCAAAAACACAACACACATGGCCTGATGATTGTGTCTAGCATGAAACATCACTGTCGCTTCTGGGTGTTGACTTCAATGTCTCCTTGTATATATATATATGTATGTATGTGTGTGTGTGTGTATAAAGATAAAAGACAATAGGAAAACTATTATTAGCTGATGCATTTACAATACAGTTTTCCTATTGTCTTTTACCTTTATACATTGTCTTTTTCTACAGGTTAACTCTGAGAAATTATATATATATATATATATATATATATATATACATACACACACACACAGTGAAGTATTGTTTTAAAACAATCAGTGATTCTTTTTTTTTTGGCTTATAAATATACATTTGTAAAAATGTGTTATTGTATGATTTATTTTTTAATTTTTGTTTTATGATAAATATTTTGTTCCCATTCTTTTAATTTCTTTCACTTTTTTAATAGAGTCTGAAATAATTCTTATGGAGATTATTAGAATATCTTGGATTACTAAATATTAACATGCCTCATTTTATATTTTATCTAAAACTATTGCAAAAATGTGAAAGCACCAGGAAAAATATTTAATAATAGTTGCATATGAAGCAAACCTGGTTTTAAAGGTTTACACATAAATTCTGTGTAAACACAGAATGTTTATTGGTGCAGAAAATGAAATTAGCAGGAGTTCAAATTCTAGCCAACAAATTGCATTTATTTCATAATAATCTCCTTTGAAAAATCATGAATCTCTTCTCCTTCCAGTTATAAATAAAATAGTAGGGTAAACTAGGCTCTCTAGCATTGTCAGGACAATCAATCTAGGAGAAAGAACACTAAAGCCAAAATTAAGGAGAAGACATCAGAAAACCACTTTACTATATTTCCCAAAAGCATTCATGGCAATTCATTCTAGATTTTAAGGAAAAGAAAGCTGTGGAGACCTATAATCCCCTATGTTTTGAAGGGACATGGTTAAAAAACAAAGCAAAAATAAAGGCAAAGTTTAATAAAACAGTGTTTCAAAAGGATGTTTTCACCTTTGACACTACTAGTATTTTGTATTATCCTCACTTCCTCCGCTTTGTTTATTGCTTTAAAGGTGATGATTAAAATTTTAATAAAATGCAAACATATTAATTAATATAAATATGAATATGGTAGCATGGAGGAATAAATAAAACAACAGTACCACAGATGAGGCAAAAGAAAAAGAAGACAAAGATTGTAAATATAAATTCTTTTATATTTGCCAATACAGTGGATGTGAGCAGAATGTTTTTGCGTTGGCAAAGTGTGCCAATTTTGAATGTGGTTAGGATTGGTAAAGCCTGGTGTTGATGTGTTTGGCAGGTTGGTTGACTGAAATCACAGTGAAGGAGGAATAGACTGGAAAAGTGAAGCCTGAATGAATTCTGGTTTGATGAGAGAATAAATGAAAACAGCAATAACCAGCCTGTGAGACAGTGTGAAAAGATAAGAAAATTGTTGATATGCGGATTTGTTGGGTTGGTTGACTGAGGTCATGGTGGTGATATCAAGAAAGGTCTGGAGTGTGATAATGAAACTCAACCTGGTTGCCATTACAGTGGATGTGTAAGGAAGGTGAGTCTTGGTAAGGCCTGGAGTTGCTGTATTTGGTGGGTTAGTTGACTGAGGTGTTGACACGAGAGGCCAGTAATCTGACTTTGCTTATACCAAATATGCAAGCAGAATATCTCTCTGGGAACAGTGTAGGTATTTGGAGGAGGGTGGGTCTCAAGCGGATATGTGTATCAGGACAGTTGTCAAAAATCACTTGAGAGCCTGCCAGAAGTCGACAGCAATCTGTCAGTCACATTCTGAGTCAGTTATTTGTGGGCAGCTTTCTTTTAAGCAAATTTATGCCTCCTGCTCATCTTTTTCTTTGGTGGCAACATTCGTGATTGGTTTCTTTTATGTTTTATTTTAGATTTTTGCAGGGATTTGTCTTGTGGGCCTGCTGCAATGCTCAGAGCCTCTGCACAGAAGACAACTTTTTTGAGTTTTGCTTTCTTAGTACACTATCTGGACAATGTGTAGAGTGAATCAGATCTAGTTTGCAGTGGAGTATAACAATATGAAAGTGAATTTATACATTTTCTTTGTTCTTTCAGAAAAACCATCCTTTTGAAACATCCTTTTTTGGAGGGTATGAAAATTAAACATTACCAAAATAAAAATATACATCTCTATCAAATATAATAAAGGTAAAATAAAAACGTTTTTTTAGCTTTACCTGGCACCTGTTTTGCCCAGCTGATAGTGACAACCAGTTCACGGTCTGCAAGGTCTGAAACAATGGACATGAATTTAACCTCATTTTCTGGTATTTCTGGATCAGGGGATGCATACAGTTTATCCAGTTGTGCCTCAATGGCCAGGAGAGACTCCATGATTTTGCTGTCTGAACCTGAAAGTATTAGAAACAATAATAATAATAAAGAAAAAATAACATAAGTAAATAAAATAAAAAGTAAATATTGTAATTTTAATGGATTTAGAATTGGTTATTTTGCAAGTGTATTTACCAATCTAAATAGACTCATTTTATAACTATATTTACAAAGTTGGGAGTGTAGATACAAGATGGTCTAAAATTAAATAAAATACAAGTGATACCTATTTTTAAATAAAATCTTTTCAATTAAATGGGTCATTCCATTTCAAATCAATCTATGACCTCAGGTGACCCTCTCAGAAAAATCTGGAAAGATTTAAAGATGTTCTTTGAGCAAATTTACTGAGAAATCTCAAATATTAGATTTGTATCCTTAATAGTTTTAAATAAAACTTTTAATGAACTTCTGACATTCAAAGCTCCAAGGATATTCATTGCATATACGGACTTGAAACTTGGCAATAGTTAACAATTACAAATATAATTGGCTTAAGTGTGTTTTATTATGTATGTTTTATTGTTTATAAATAAGGACCTGAAACTCCAGATCTCCATTGAATCAAGATATTTTCTACATTTGAGAACAAAGATTATTTTTGAAATTCTTGTATTTTTAAATAAGACATTCATCTTCCAAACTATTTTCAAAAGTGATAAAGCACTACTTTCCATTTTGGTGACCTGTCAAGAATTGATGATTTGAAATATAAAGTTCTCATTTATAGATCCTTTAATTCTGCTGAATCAAATAAATAGAATAAAACATCAATGAAACTGTAATTAAAAAAGGTCTAAGTACTTTCCATAGAAGTAGTGGTAGAGCAGCAAGAGGCTTGCCACATCCTGTGGGAGAATGGGAAAATAATTATCACCCACAAGGAGTTGGACATGCTTTTGAACTCTATCAAGAGTAGAGAATGAAGTCTGGGCAGTACATGCCCAAATATGACAACAGCATTCTATTTTAGGCCTGATCTGATTCTTGTAATGGTTAAGAATAGCAGGAGTCAGGTACTTAATGGAGTGGTAAAGAGAGCCATCCATTTTACCTGCATCCTTAGCAACGGATCATATGTATGAGTTCCACTTCAGGTCAGGTGTGAGTTTGGGACCCAACAATCTTTCAGGCATGCTACTTCCCAGAGAGGACCTCCATTCATTGTGATTGGTGGTAGTTCGGGATTAGATTGGCAAGGATGGAATGTAACTAGCATGGTCTTCGAGGCACTGCATGTAACCAGCCAGTTTTTACGCCATTAGGTATTTTGTGCAAGATTGGAAGAGAGATCTCTGACCAGGAATTTCAAAGGTGTGCCTATATATAGTCATATCATCTGCATAGATGTTTAAAAATGATCTGAGTATATTCTTAGGCAGATCATTTATGTAGATCAAAAAGAGTGTTGGTCCGAGAGCTGGCCACTGATAACTACCTTCATGGATCTACCTGTTAGGAAGGATTTTATGATCGAGAAGACCCTTCCGGTGATTCCATAACTGGAGAGATGGTGTAGTAGGTCTTTGTCTCACACCTTGTTGAAGGCGTTTGAGATATATAGTGCTATGATCCTTGAGGTGTGTTTGCCATCAAGAGCCTTGCTGAATCTGTGAGTGATGGTAGTTAGGATGTCGGCAGTGGATCGGGCTGACTTGAAACCCATACTGCATGTAGCTGAAGAGATTTTCTTTTCTAGGTGCTTGATGACCTTCTTATTAATTATATAGCCTCAAAGAGTTTGCTGATGACACTAATGCAATTAATGGGTCTGTACTGGAAGGGGGAAGATTTCATGCCCACATTCTTGAAAACTGAATATACGCTTGACACTTTCCACAGGCTTGAGGACAACTTCTTCAAGTAGCAGTTGAAAAACTTTGCTAGGATTGGGGATGATTCCAGGTTGATGTTCTTAAGGACAACCACTGGAATTTTATCTGGACCAGTGTTTTTTTTAGGGTTAATAAGACTAGAGACCTCTCGTGCTGTGGTGGTAATATTACTGAGATTGTGCTTGCTGAGATGTGGAAACTTGGAGAGGGAATGGTCTTTGTCATCTAATGTTGAGTTAGAGGCAAAGATGAAGGTGAATGGGTCTATTGTTACTGTTCCAAATTTGGGGCCGTTGCTACTAGACCACAACCAGGCCCATTGATACTATCCAATGTTACCAGTCTATTGCTATTGCTTACCCTACAAAATATGCCCGTTTTTCTCTATCGTGATCTGATTAATATTTCTGAAGATGCCACTCTAAACATCCAATGCACTGACTGATAAAGAAAGCATGTTCTTCATTAATGCAACAGTTGATCATGTTTTTTTTTTATATATATACATGTCCGGATATTCAATTTGATAATTAAGGAGACTGATTGGATTTTATATAATGAAATACATGAATATTAGATTCTACTAAACATTGTCTGGTTTGTGCAGCCTATCAGTGATACTTTATGTTATCAGTAATACTTCATTGTATCAGCCAAGGTTTTGGTTTTTGAAAACACTTTATTATACATGAAAATTAATTCTATTATAAAAATTGAAAACTGTTCTAGTTTGAGGCTTGGAAATTATGGTAAGCCATATAAAACATCAAGGAAACAGATTCTTTTATTGAATTCATAATTGTATGATATAGCTTTCTAAAAGGCTTAAGGGTGTAATAAGGAAGAGAACTAAAGAAGTACCTTGACAAAGGCTTTAATAAAAAGGGTGGCCCACAAGTGCAAATAAGAATACAAAGAATACAAGTAAAAAATATATGTACATATAGTACAGCAAAAGATAGATAATTCCAGAACAGTCCAAATTAAGGGAAATTCATTCTTATGACAGAGGGTTTTTTAAAATTTCATCTCAGATTATGAATATATTATGAGCTTATATCAAAATATCTAATATAGACATATTACTATATCATACATTAATATTTGGTCAGGTTTTGGAAAGTGTATTGGACGGAAAACCATTTAGTGCTTATTTATAATAAACATGATCTTTAAAGAGGTAATTATAAACAATAGATGACAAATTTTACAAATGTATTAAAAGAAAAAAAGAAAAATTTATGCTGATCACCATCTTGAAACTTAGAAAATAAGAGATTTCTACTGTTGAATGAATTCACTTTTTAAAATCAATCTTTTTATTATACTCACTAAACTTATTTAAGTTACTTTTCAACTCAAAAAACAATATCTATCAAAATATAAAAACACTCTACTTTGTGGTTAATTTCCATAGTTTCATTGATTACAAAGGCTCTACTTCCCAGCATCTGTATTACTGAACTATAAATCTTAGTATCTCATATCATATGCCTTACTCTTGAAATGCTTGAGTATTTCTCGATGCCTTATGACTGCTGATCCAATGATTATTTGCCAAGTTATTTGTATTACCTATCGACTGTCTGTCTTGGGGTCATGTATCACTAAGATAATGGAATAGGATACTTCTGGCTGACCCCATTTTTCTCTTTTTTGGGGGTTGGTGAAGTGAAGGTAACCAAAATGATGTAAATTCTGCTTTCTAACTGTTGCTCTCAGCTCCTTTGATATGTGAATGTTCAAGTACATGTTGCTACACCCATACATTCCATACATATACAAAAATGTCAGTTTCCTGTATTTATTCATATATATGGGTGTTGGGCACTTCGATGTGGTGTGATAGCAAGCTTGTCTTGCTAAATCAGTTACTAGTGAATAGCGAGTTTGATCCTCACTGGGTGCCCCATATTTTCAGCCTTGTGCCACATCTAAGTTACATTTAGAAAATCACCATATATATGGGTATACAAGCTTATATTTCTCGCTCTCATATATATCGCTCTATATATCTACACACACATGATTATATGTATGTGCTTGTATTTTTATGTACGTACATACTACCTGTATATTATAATTGATACAATTTTTTAAATAAAATATAAATTCTATTTATTCACACTCAGTCATATTCAAATATATTAACACCAACAACATCTATTTACAAATATTTATATATACACACCACTGTTAACTATTTATATACACTTACAATAATATTTATTTACACAAGCAAAAAATATCTTTTCAATATACACAAAATAGGCTTTGTATGCATTAATCATATATATATATAGATACACACTTAAAATGAATGTATTTAAAAGCACACACACACACACACACATACATATAGATATACAGAATGTCTGCTTACCAGGGGGCAACACACTCTTTTCTGTTCGTGGTTTCCCTGGAAAGGAACATAAAATGTATATATTTAATGTGTATATTATATATATATATATTTGTGCATACATACACACACACACATATATACATATATATATATATATATATATATATATATATATATATATATATATATATGTTGGTATGTTTTGGGATATAGATTTTTTTTTTTTACCAGTAATATAAACATGGAAATTATATATCTCCACCAATATAATTGTAGGAGTGGAGGTATATATATATATACATATATATATATATATATATATATATATATATATATATATATATATATATATATATATACATTTCTATTATGCTGTATGATTTTACAAATCATATGAAAAACAAGTATACATAAATTGTATACGTACAATATAACTATATACTTATTTAATATATAGTTTTGTTTAAATGTTTGTATTTTCTGATGGAAAATAAAATGACAACATCCCAATTTATGATTTTCAATTTATTCAAGATTAAACACATAAATGATCACATAATAGGAGTAAGTAGGTTCACCTATCATCCAGTTCACACTCCTCCCCTGTCTTTTGAATAGGAGTAGAGGTTTATCTTTTGTTCCCTGTTTAGGATTGGGTTTCCAGTTCCTTCTAAAGTCTTTTCCATTCTCTTTCACTTCCAGTAGCCCCTTGCGTTATAGCCTTGCTTGGGTGAATTGATTAAAAATAAATATACAAATTAATTCATGTATCAATAATAGTTGCATCCCATATAAATACACTCTATATCCTTCTTATGCATTAATGCAAAGACCATTCTGCAATACATTATTCCATGCATGTTGCCCCTGATCACAAGACAAACAAGAGTCTAGTATTGGTCTATCATGTCCAATACATGTTCACTAGAGTAGGACAGGTCTGGTGATTGTGCTAAATTGGGAAGTTGTTGAACATTTGCAGATCATGTTAAGTAGCATGGGCAACATGTAGGTAGCATTTATTCTGCTGGAACAGTACATTATTTTTCTGTTGTAGGGATGGCAGCAAATCAAGTTGAACAATATTTTGGATGCACATGGCATTGTTCAATGTTCTATTCACAAATACAAAGAAAAGCAAGAATTGTAACTTATGGCATCCCACCATGATAGCATTTTCTACAATCTACAAAATGTTCTTTCCTATGTCTATATTGCACACATAAACACCCACCACTTTGAATGAAAGCAGAACCTGTTCTCATCACTGAAAATAACAGAATACTATTCTTGCTATTAGATACATAATAACATACATGATTGCACTGTTATGTAAAAGTCTAGCTTGAGGCATTAGTCCTGCTCTAAGAAAATAATATCCAATTGTCTCCTGAAACCATATTTGTTTTGATCTGTGCTGTGGATAATTATGTGGTCTGCTACTACTATCTTTTCAATTCATTAATTCTAGTGAGTCTCTATATTATGTAGTTATTCAGAATCTGATCTACGGGTGTAGGAATGGTCATCTGACCACTACTGCCAACATTAAATGTCTCATGTAGATCAGGCACAGAAATTCTCTGAAATGACCAACTGGCCATTCAAAAAGGGGCTAAAATAACCAAGTAGTCTGTCAAAAGTTTAACCCTTCTCAAATTAATTTGACAAAAGGGGCATGTATGCTTCTGTGGAATGATACCAGCTCACCCTGGGCTCTTCCACATCATTGAACCTTACTGCGGCATGCATCACTGTTTAAAGCTCAAACATAATTCCCAAAATTGCCCTTTCAATTCATCAATTCTAGTGTGTCTCTATATTATGTAGTTATTCAGAATCTGATCTATGGGTGTAGGAATGGTCATCTGACCACTACTGAAGCACTACAGACATGTCATGTACAACATGCACCACAGTTCTCTGGATTGACCATCCAATATCTTGAAAGCCTAACATCCAGTCTTTCTGAAATTGCTCTAATTGACAAAAGAATTATATGTGCATCTTTGTGAAATGACACATGTTTGTACTGAACTCTTTCACCACAGTGAATTGCCACTGGCACCATTGTCTAAAACTCAGGCAGTTATGTTATTATACCCCAAGATGAACAAAGATATGGAAAATTTTATTGGAATATCTACTACCTATCTTTTAGGGTGCTGTGATTTTATTTTCCATTAGTGTGTATTTATTAACATGATTGGCTGTATATATCTTCATTTATAATTTATAGTTTTAAAATGTGTATGACAAGAGTTATTTGTGTGTATATATATATATGTACATGCACTATAAGGATTTCAGTTGTGTATGTAAACATCTTTAAATATACACCTATATCAAAACATTTTTATATCACAGATACAAAATCTTAAGAAACTTAGAAACAGATAAAAAATAAGTGTATGAAGAAATGCTGAAAAGTTCTCAGCCTGACTCACATATAAAGATCTGACCAAATACCAAATCTATTTTGCAGTCTCCTCTTGGTCAAGACAAAAACTTTCAGCCTCTCTTCATAATTTATGCATATTTATTCACTGATGTATGCACTTACCTAAATGTATGAATTAATCTCTTTACACACACACAATATATATATATATATATATATATATATATATATATATTATAGTAAAAAAAGAAAAAACTGTAAGATATATAATCCGGTGTTCTTATAGATATTTTTATTTTTACAAAACAGTGCTCAATGTAAATTTACAGAGCATAAATATTATAAATTAACTGATTTAAAAATATGGTTTCATTGCTACACAGGAATTACCATGTTTCAAAAACAGAAACTAAAAACTTTGAATTCAATTATATAATTAAATTAACAGCATTGGTTCTGTTTCATCAATCAAATTATGGAATAATTTATTTTGAAATTTACCAAGTTTTAAAAACACATACTTTCATAATTTTTGTTTCCAAGGATACAGAGAAATCCAATCATATATATGATAGCTGCTTAAGTATGACCATCACAAGATATTGTAAGACTTAGTTATGGTTTAAACCAGGGGTCATCAAATGGGGTATTCACTAGGGGTTAGTGAGGAGTTCCAGGGCGTTGATAATAGCAAAGAGGTTGGAGGGGGAGAGAGAAGAACTTGCACAACAATACCACACCCACCCAATTTATCACTGAGTCAGTCAGTCTTGTTATTTTCTTCTAGAGATAGTTTAATATATTAACTATTGTATGCATTTTTATGGTATATACTGACTGCCCAGTAGCATACTCAACCACTGCTTTAATAATATCTTTTAAAGAAATGTCAAGCCCATCAAAAAAGATCCCATTCTCATATTGAATGCTATATTTTTTTGTATGAAGCACATGCTTTTTTCATAAATCTACAAGAATACCCACTTTGTGCTTTTTATAGGGCAATAATTTCAGAGCTTCTTTGCAACAATTCACTCTCAGTTTTAACTATCTTCTTTACATACAATACCTTATTAACCGGATATTAGAAGCAGTTATGCATTTCTGTTCAATAACATCAGTTGTATTTAGGCTTGGTGTACTTCATATATTATTTGCTTGATTCATTAATATATTTTCTTAAACATATTTTTGGGGGAAAATTCTGATCACACTGGAAGGAAAATTTTCTTTAACCTGATCCAAATTTCTTAACTTTTTAGTTAACATTTTAATTGCTAATATCAGTATGAGTTTTAAGGTTCAAAGTTATTTTAAATGGGGGTCACTGGGGAAGGAAGAGAAACATAAGTGGGGTTTCTGGTCCAAAAAGTTTGGTTTAAATAAATATGACTCTTTAAACCATATATTTAAACTATATATATATATATATATATATATATATATTCAAATATAGTTAAATATAACAGACAACGAATGTCTATTATGTTTTATCATGAACTGTTCCAACCACCGTATAATGGCTTTAGTCTCAAGAGACAAAAACTGTCCAACATTTGGATATTACTTTATTATATTGGTCGTCAATCTAAGCTTTTGGCTCATATGAGCCATCATCAAAGTGGTTATATGAACATTGTAACAGAGATGTATGCCGTCAAAGATGACATCCTGTTTCGTTTACATAGAAGTTTGCTATGCAACAGTCACAAATTCATAATGCAGTTCTATTTCGTACGTGACTACATGAGAGAAAGAAATGTTATCAACAGAACCATATGTTTAAATGCATTGTAATATGTTGTAACTAGTTTGAAATGTAATTTTGCTGTGTGTTGCTTTGTTTTAATATAGATGGCATCCAATATGATTCTTTTTACTGTGTGTATGTGTGAGTATTGTTGTGTTAACAATAATTGTCTAATATAATGTATATGGCTATGTTTTTCTAAGAAATGTTGTTTAATGGAAGTAAGATCAAAAAGATGACAAGTAAGTCTACAGGAGAGAATGGTTGTAGTAAAACCAATATATGTAGTGGGTTTATTATTAGTATCAGAGATACAATCTCTGAACAAGCATGTAAATTGATACACTACATTGTCTTTTTTGTAGAGGATTTATTTGTGGTTGTAGGGTTATTAGACACTATGAGGTCAAATGTTTTAAATTTTTTATAATATATGATGAGCTTGTTTATTATTAATGGGTTTAACATTTCTACCTATGTTTTTGAGTGTTGCTTCATCCTGTTTGTAATTATTATACATTTGGTTACAATAGTATAAGTTAATAGTATTATGCTTATTTTGATGTACATTATTGTGGTTACAATTATTATTAATATTATCAATTTTGTTAGTGTATTATTAAGCCTACTGAGATACATTTTAATTTGTTGATCAATGATGGAGTTAGGAAATCCATTATTAACGAGTGTTTGGGTTGATTTTATATAATTCTTTATAGAATATGGTTTTGGAAGAAAATATCATTTGTGTACATTGGATTAAGTTTTTTTTATAATGACTAACTTATATTGTTGGGGGCATTCACTATTGTAATTAAGAAGACATGAATTAATGCTAGTGGGTTTTCTATATAGAGAAGTAATAAATTTATGACTGCTGGATTCAATAAGTACATCAAGGAA